ACAGAATTTGTTTAAAAATAACCTTTTACTTAACAGTTTTAGGTTTATAGAAAAATTGCAAAAATAATAAATGGAGTTTCCATATACCACATAACCAGTTTAGACTATTATCTGTGACCTAATATGTGGTCTATCCTGGAGAATGTTTCATGTCTACTTGTGAGGAATTTGTATTCTGCTATTGTTGAGTAGTGTGTTCTATATATGTCTGTAGGTCTAGTTGGTTTATAGTGGTGTTCAAGTATTCTATTACTCTATTTGTTATTTGTCTAGTTCTATGTGCTATTGGAAGTTGGTATTAAAATCTCCAAATGTTGAACTATCTTCAAATGTTGTTGAACTATCTATGTCTTTCCTCAATTCTGTCAGTTTTGCTTCACATATTTTGGAGTTTTCCCATTTATATATTTATAATTATTATATCTTCTTAATAGATACTTTTATATTATGTAATGTCCTTCTTTGTCTCTTATAACAATCACCTTAAAGTCAGTTTTAAAAATTAGTATAGCCACCTCAGCTCTTTTTGAGGCTGTTTGCATGAATGTATTTTTCCATTTTGACATATTTGTGTTTTTAAAACTAAGGAGTGTCTTTTAGACAATATATAATTGGATTGTGCTTTTTAATGCATTTTGCCAAATATGCCCTTTAATTGAAGAGTTTAATCCACTTATATTTAATGAAATTAAAGATATAAAAAGACTTTTGCCAATTTTCCCTTTGTTTTCTATAGGCAATGTCTTTTAATTATCATTTATAATTTTGGATATCAAAATACACAGAAGTTCAAATCTCTAATATAAAATAGCATAGTATTTGGATATAACCTATGCATATCCTCCTATGTAGTTTAAAACATCTCTACATATAACTGATGCAATGTAAATGTTAAGTAAATATTTATACTGTATTATTTAGGAAAAATTGCCAAATTAATTAATTCTAACAGTTTTTCTGGACTCATTAAGGTTTTCTAAAAACACGATCATATTATCTGTGAACAAAGATAATTTTGTCTCTTTTCAAATTTGGATGCCTTTTATTTCATTTTCTTGGATAACTACTCTGGCTAGAATATCCAGTACTATGTTGAATAGAAGTGATGGACCTGTTCACCCTTGCCTTGTTCCTGATCTTAGAAGAAAAGTTTTCAGTCTTTCCACTTTGAGTATAGTATTCAGTGTGGGTTTTTTACATATGGCTTTTATTATGCTGAAGTAGTTTTCATTCTATGTCTTTTGACTGAGAGAGGTTAATCCACTTATATTTAAAAAGTAATTTCTGATATGGAGGCACTTCTGTCAGTTTTCTATTTGTTTTCTACATGCCTTACAGCTTTTATAGTCATTTTTATTTTTGCATTACTGTCTTTTTTTGTGTTTAGTTGATTTTTTGTAGTTAAATGTTTGAAGTATTTTCTCATTTCCTTTGGTTTTTATTCTTATGCACTTTCTATTTGGTTACCATGGGGATTATGTTTAACATGCTAAAGTTATAACTCTCCAATTTGATTTTATAACAGCTTAACTTCAACAATATATAAAATTCTGCTTCTTTACAGCCCAGACTTCATTCTTTAGTTGTTGATGTTCCAAAACTCTATCTTTCCACATTGTGGGTCCAAATATATAAACGAATAATTACTTTTAATGCATCAATATCTTAAATTATGGAGAAAACAAAATGTGTAGCTACAGACCAAAGTTACAATAATACAAATTTTTATAATTGTCCATGTATTTACCTTTGCTGTGGACCTTTACTTCTTCACACAGTCCAGAAGCTCCTCTTGGCTGTGACAGTTTCTCAGGCATTCTTTGTTTTTGATGATGTTGACAATTTTAAGAAGTACTACACAAGTATTTGGTAGAATGTTGTCAATTGGGATTTATCAATTCTGATTTTTTTTTTTCATGATAAGACTGGGGCTATGAGTTTTGGGGAGGAAAACCTCAGAGGTAAAGTGCCACTTTCATCACTTCTTGTCAAGGGTACATACTGTCAAAATGGCTTTCCACTGTTAATACTGACCTTCATTACCTGCCTCAGGTAGTATTTGTCAGGCTTTTCTACTATAAAGTTAGTCCCCCAGTCCTCTTTTCCATACTATATTCTTCAGGATGAAGTCACTCTGTGTAGCTCATATGTAAGGAATGGGTAGCTATGTTCCACCTTTTATTAGGCACAACATTTCCATAAATAACTTGAAATTCTGCATGGATTTTGTTTCTTTCTTCCTACTTATTTATTCATTTATAGTAGTATGGATTCATGGATAACTATGTTATACTTTAGGCTATAATCTAATGTTACCTACCCAACTCGTCCCAGCTTTGGCCATTGGGAACTCTTTCAATTGGCTCCTGTGTCTTTGGGAATATTTTTTCCTTCAGCTGGAGGACCATTAGAAGCAGATTCTTTACCTGAAGCTGCAGTTGATATTTCTGATATATAAGTCTAGTGATGATTAATATTTTTACCCTATGATCTCCAAAACACTTTCCTTTCTTAACTTTTAAGTTTCACAAGTCTTTAACAGTATTTTCCTGTTATGGCCTTTTTCTCAACAAGAAATGCCAAAATCCTGTGGTATTTTTTTTCTTTTATTGTTTCCATTGGTTTTCAGACTGTTTCTTCTAGGTTTATAACTTTTCATTCAGCTTCTTATATGGGTCTGTTTACTTCTTTATTTCACATAGGAATAATGTTGTTTCCTGGACCTAAGTGTCTTTTTCTTTTTCCTTTTCCTTTACTCTCTGACCAAAAAATTTGCTTTTCCAGCTTTCTACTCTCAAAATTTTATCTTATGTCCCACATTAAGAGAGATGAAGTCAGTGAGTTCAATGTTTGTCACCTTGTTCAAACAAGTCTTGATTTTCTTGATCCCTATGAGTAGGAAAGTCCCATGTAAAAGATAATATTCTTATCAGACCAAGAGCTGATAAAGACCAAGTACTCACCTGTAATCATCTTGTCTGATTTCCCTTCAATGAGTCCTCTCCTTGCTTTGTTTTTACCTAGAATACCAGTTCCAAAAATTTTCCAAATATTTTTCCTCAGGGAATCCCCGTGGCAATAATTTTGTTCCTTTGCAGTTGACATGGATGTCTTTTCATCCTTTATACTGATCTTCCTGGGATTTTGGTCTGAAATGTGAACAAATTTTCTTAACCCCTTGGAAGATCTATCCCAGTTTTGAAGAAAAGGTGATTTGATTGTTCTTACATAAATCCTGATACTTTAAGAGGGATTTTAAAAAGCAAGTGTGACTCAGAGTCTTTCCAGGACATCATTACATCTGCTCTCCAAGGCTTTTCCTTTTTATATCTGATAGAATTTCTTAGGTACCAGTCTTTCTTTGGGAAATGGCAACAACTAAAATGTATTGCTCTTTTCTATTACCTTCTCCAAGAGGAGTTGGACTTGAGTGTATTGCCTTTTTAACTTTATAGTTCTCTCTCTTGGCTCTTAGCATCTTATTTCCCCTCCATATCTCCCCAGTCTGTGTTTTCAAATCCCAATATTTCTTTTGAGGCAGTATCTTTCTCTTTACTACTCAGTTTGACACTTTCTATTTTATTTCTTCCACCCCCATTGCTCTGATAGTAAGAAACTATAAGAAAATGAGGCTCTTTTTCAAGCTACTCAAGTTCTTTTTTTACCCAAGTAAGTACACATTCTGAGGTACTGGGACTTCAACATATCAGTTTTGAGGACAGGACACCAGGGCAAGGACTTCCCTTGCCTGGATATAAGTCTTTACTGTCAGTGAACTAAACTTCTTGATAGTCTATGGCTAATTGCTTAGTGAAGGGAGACAAAGCATAAATAATAAGCAAAATAAATATGTAAATTATATAAAATGTTCAAAGGTGATAAATGCATAAGATAAAAGTGGTGCAGAGTAGGAAAGATCTGGTGTGTTTCCAGGGACAGGGCAGCTTGCAATATATCACACAGGGCGTCTCCAGAGACGGAGACATCTGAGCAGCATTTGAGAGAGGTAAGGGAGCTAGGCAAGTGGCAATAGGGCACAAAGACACATTTTGGGAAGAAGGAGTTGGCTAATCAAAGATTTCAGGGATGAGGCCTGCCTGGAGTGCTTAGGAGACAGAAAGGAGGCTTGTGTTGATTGAATGTTACAGGCACACGAGGATATAACGAGTTAAAATCAGAGATGAGGATGGGAGGTCAGACCACATGGGGCCTTTTAGGTTATTTTAAAGGCTTGGGCTTTTACTTGGGCTTTTAGATTAGAAGCCCCTGCAGAGTTTTGAGCAGAAAAATGATATAACCATTCCTGTTGCTGTATTGCGAACAGACTGCAGAGTAAGGATAGAAAGCAGGAGACTGTTTAGAAGGCAATTTTGTAATACAGGCCAAGGCTGAGAGCAGTAAGTTGGACCAGAGTATTTTCAGGTGGAGAGTGGTAAGTGGTTGGTGACTGGATTTGGGAAATATTCTGAAGGTAGAGCCAACAGGTCTTCCTGATGCATTAGAAAAAAAATAAAATAAAATAAAATAAAATATATATATATATGTGTGTGTGTGTGTGTGTGTGTGTGTGTGTATACATATGTGTGTATATATATACACACATATGTATATATATACCCATATATATACGTACTTA